CCCAGAGTTCATAAGTGGACTTGTGGACTTCATAAGTGGACTTGTGGGTTCATAAATGGACTTGTGGACAGTTTACTGGCTGAGGAACTCTGGGAGTTGAAGTCCACAACTCTTAAAGTTGCCAAGGTTGGAGACCCCTGCTTTAGACCATGGGTGACAAACTCAATTGTGTCACACGACATATTGCAGAGTTTTTTGCCTTTGCCGAGCCGGGGTGAGCATGGCTTGCGCATAACGCATCCAGCTTACGGGCCACCAGTTTAACATCCCTGTTTAGACGTAGTCCTTGACTTATGATTGACACAAAAAATGACGTCAGGGTGGAAAATCAGAAGTCCAGGCAGTTCAAGGTTTATTGCAAGCGTGTGCTCTCTACAAGAATCTGAACTATTAACTGTTAAAGGAAATTTAATGGGAGATAAGAATAGAAAAGAATTCAAGGAGGGATGGACTTGGGCATGAAGGGGCCCAAGATTGATGACGCATTTGACCCCTCCCTTAGGCTCACCCGGGTGAACTTCTACGAACATGGATTCAAAGTTCCAGCAGTGACGCCCCCCCCCACTGCAATCATGTGACTGAACTTCTGATGCTCAACAACAAAACTCCATTTGCAGCCATAGTCATGACTGCATTTTATCACTGCTAACAATAATCTGAGCATTACGGTCATATGTACCTGTAATAGAACGAAAGCAGTTTGCTCACCATCTACCTTCTCTAAATCAAATCTGAGCATTAGACAGGTCCTGTGAATGAGAATATCGGTAAAGGAGGCATATGTATATGGAAGATAATGTAGTATTGCAGGCAAACTCTGCCTACAGCGTTGAGTTTGCTCTTGAACAGCTCAAGGTTGACTCAGCCTTCCATCCTTCTGCCATCCTTATTTTCCTCCCCAAAAACTAAGCCCGACCACATAGTTTCGTAGTAAAGTATGGGTATCAAGCTAGTAATACATATTTTTCACAAAAAAAAAAAAGAGAAGAGAAACCTTATTTGGATCTTCAAAAGCTTCCTGTAATTTCTCATGATTTATTATAACTATTGCAAACGGTTCTTTGAGGGTTCTGTTTCTGTTTGCAGATGGGTGTGAATGTGGTCGATTCATCAGTTGCTGGCCTTGGAGGCTGTCCTTATGCTCAGGGAGCATCAGGAAATGTGGCAACAGAAGACATGGTGTACATGCTGCACGGCCTTGGGATTCACACAGTAAGTGGGAAACTGCTTTAGTTCTCTCTCCTTAGCTGGCCATCGGAGGTAGGCCTCAGCAGATAAACTAAACCTATAGGTTACCAAGCTTTCATTGGATCTCGAAATGCTAAAAGTACGAAAAATTAATTAGTGGGATAGCTTAGCAGCCTTTTTATTTATATCCCTCCTTTATAATTTTTTTTATAAGCAACACAAATTGGTGAGCATAGCCAATATTTCTTCCTCCTCTTGTTTTCCCTGCAACAATCCCCTGTTGGGTGAACTGGACAGAGAGAAAGTGACTGGCCCAAAGTTGTCCACCTGGCTTTGATGGCCAAGTTGGGACTACAATTCACAGCCTCCTCCTACTTTCGAGCCTGGGTGCCTTAAGTACTATACCAAACTGGCTTTAGCCTAAGTTCTCCACTATTGTGCAAAAAGTCAATTGCTCTTAATTCATATAAGGCACAGAACAAAAGTGCTTCCCAAACTTAATACATGCTTAAGATGTGTGAATGTAGCTGTAGGTTTATAGCTAAATTTAGTGAGTGTATTGTATGAATCTAGCGAGTGGTCGTATCCATTGCATGAGACAAACATACATTGCTTCTGAGAGCAGATGGCCCATAAGAGAAAAGTGTTTGTTTGCTCCTGCATTTAATAAAGTTGCTGCTCCTTTGTAAAGTAAAACACAATTTACTATTCCCCTGGTTTGACTTTATTATTTTTAATTCTGTAAAATAAGACCAAAACTAAATAATCCCCAGAATTTAGAATTTAATGTTTGTTTAAAATACTCTATATTAATCAACTACAGCTACACTTTAAAGAGTCAGTAAATAAATCTCCCAATTAAAGCTTGTAGCTCTTTTGTTCCCAGCATATCTTAACCAAGTGTTGTTTCACACATGAAAGGCTTCTAACCCACATCTGCTCTTTAAAGAGTATGAAAAGAAATTTTAGACTACTGTCCTCAAAAGATTCTGCACTTGAGTCTTTTGCATGTTTCTGTAAATGTTCCCAACCCACAGGAAACAGAAGCCTGGCAAAATATCATACAGATCATCCTTGATTTACAATAGTTCATTTAGTGACCACCAGGGGTGGGATTCTACCAGTTTGCACCTATTTGCTAGAACCGGTTGTTAACATTCTAAGCAGTTCGGAGAACCGGTTGTTAGAAGAAATTACTGGCCTAATCCTGTAAGGAAGGCAGGAAAGAAACATTCTGGTGTTGCTTACAGAAACTGCCTCTCCATTAACCCTTATTGCATTCTTGGCAGGACTAGACTTCCTGTCTCAGGAACTTCTCTGGAGTTTTTTTTCCCTCCTTTGCTGGTACTTTGCTTGTGTGGAGTGACCATTCAAAGTTACAATGGCACTGAAAAAAGTGACTTATGACCGTTTTTCACACTTACGACTGTTGCAGCATCCCCACAGTTATGAGAGGCCAGGCGAGGAGATACGTGCCTCGATGTGAGTGATGTTGAGTTGGCCACGCCCAGCCAATAACATGACCAAGCCACGCCCACCAACTAAGCCACGCCCACAGAACTAGTTGTTAAAAAATTTGAATCCCACCCCTGGTGACCACTCAAAGTTACACTGGCACTCGAAAACTAACTTTATGTCCTTTTTTCACACTTACAACTGTTGCAGCATCTCTGTGGTCAGTTGGTTAAAATTCAAATTCTTGGCAAGTGGTTCATATTGGTGGTGGTTGCGGTGTCCCAGGGTCACATGATCACCTTTTGTGACATTCTGACCAAGTGAATGGGGTTTCACTTAATTCACATGTTGCTAACTTAACAGCTGCAGTGATTCACTTAACAACCGTGGCAAGAAAGGTCACAAACTGGGGCACTTATTCACTTAACCGTCTTGCTTCGCAACAGAAACTTTGAGTTCAATTGTGGTTGTAACTTGAGGACTGCCTTGTAGCTTCGTGAATGCAAAATAAACAGCTGTCCTTTTTTCTCCTCTTTTTTAACCTACCAAAGGGTGTGGAACTATCAAAGCTCCTTGAAGCAGGCACTTTCATCTGCAAGATGCTGAACCGGAAGACCAGTTCAAAAGTTGCACAGGCCACCTGCAAACTGTGAGGTAGATCAGTGCCTTTCCTGGACTTGCTGGGAATCAAAACTCTATGGCAGTCTGGAAACTGCCGTGCTAGCATTTGTTCCCCTCACTGTATTTAAGCACTATCCAATGACTCAGAATTAAAAGACCAGAAGATGAAACAGCTGGATTTTACACTAAAAGGAAGAAGACGTTAAAAGAATGTAGGACGCCAGAGCTCCCTAGCAAACGTGTTGGATGTGTTTGAAGATGGAGGTTGCAATTGTCTTAAGGGGCAAAGGCATTGAAGTCCACACAATTTAAAAGTGTCCAAAGTTGAGATCTACAGGATTTGCCTCGTCAAGCCTTGAAACAGAAAAATGTATGTTGGGATTTCTTTCCAAATAAAACACATTTTTACTCTGGATTGAATGTTATTTGTGCCATTTGATTTTCCTCCAATGTTCTGCACAATGGAACCAAACTTGAAATAGTCCTTAACTTAGAACCATTCATTTCATGACCAAAGTTAGAATGGCACTGAAAAAGTGGCTTATGACCATTTTTCACATTTATGACCATTGCAGCATCCCCGTTCAAAATTCAGACGCTTGGTAACTGGCATGAATTTATGACGGTTGCCCGTATCCCAGGGTCATGTGATCTTTTGTCAAAGTCAGATTTTTGGGAAGCCAGATTCGCTTTATAACCAAGTTACTAAATTAACAACTGCAGTGATTCACTTAGCAACTGTGGTTCAATTTTCTGAGTGACAGGACTGATGTTTGCAAATGTTTTAAGCGATTTTGCAAATGGTCTGTCCACTTATGACCAACCGACCAAGCGCATGTTGGATTTGCTTGGCACTGATTAACTTGTTGCTGGACTTTCAACCTTGCAGTTTGGGGCTGCTACTGTCACTGAGCTTTGCACTTTAGCGCTACTTTTGGGGGGATCGATCTTGGGGCCCAGCTTAGGTCCCACAGATGAAGATAAATAAGGTCCCAGACTGAAGCTCTGTGACTGGGTGTGGGGTGCTTCTGGATGTTTGACCCCCATTTCCTTGTCTGAGCTGGATATTATACTTAGCCCAAAGGTGTCCAACCTTGGCCATGTTAGCTGATGTAGTTCGCCGGCTGCAGGTATGGACAGCTGAGGTCTCGGAGAGAGAGGACTCAGATGAGGGGCCTGCGTGTGATGCAGGGATGGGGCCAGGACCATCAGGGAGTGGAGTGCTGCCTTCGGAGATTGTGGAGGCTGGCAGCAGTGATGAAGAGGTCCCCAAGGAGCCTGTGCCCACTGCATGTGCACGCAGGGCTGCTCAAAGGAAAGAGCAGCTGCAGCAGCACGGGCGACTCAGGAGTAAGGCTGCAAGGTAATGGCCCCTCCCTGAGGAGATAAAAGCCAGCTGAGAAACTGGAGTTCTTTGCAGGAAGCAAAGAAGTTTTTGCACTCAAGCCTGGTGGACGTTTGGAGTATCTTGGTTGGTGTTTGGAGACTCTTTGTGTTTGAAATATTTCTTAGTAACTTTATCTTGTGTTCTTGGCAACCTTGCACAACCTTGGTAAGGCTCGTTCTTATCAGAGACAATTAGTTTGAAACAGCCTTTTAACCGTGAAGGAACAGAATTCGTAAAGAATCATTAAACAGTTTTGCTGTTACCTCTGTTTCATGTTTGTTTCCTTGGAACAAGGTTTGGGTCAGAACACTAGCTGGGGAATTCTGGGAGTTGAAGTCCACAGGCCTTAAAAGTAGTCAAGGCTGGACACCCTTGACAGCCGCTGATGGTATATCACTTGCTTTGCCACAAGTTAAGCAAGAATAAATTGTTTTCCTCTCTTCTCCCACATTTTTCTGTCCCAGCCATTCTAAATTCCAGCTGGCTTCTCTATCGACTTTGCTTGTCGGTAGCCAGCTGGGGAAAGTTACAAACGGTGATCATATACTCTTGGGACACTGCAACTGTCCCAAATGCATGCCGCTTGCCAAGAACCCAAATTCTGATTATCTGATTATGGGGATGCTGCAACAATAGTAAATAAGCCTCTTTTTTAGTACCGCTGTAACTTCAAATGGTCACTAAACAAACGGTTGTAAGTCAAGAACTAGCTGTCAACAATACAGAGCTGGCCACTAGAAGGCAGTATACTCCAAAAGTTCACTGCTGATTTGAACCTATCCAAATACATTTAGGTTATTTAAATAACAAAACATTTAAATTAGGGCAGGTTATTTTTTTAAAAAAATTATACTTAACTCCTTTGTGGAGATAAAGCAATTGTTATTGTATTGCTCCGAAATACCGGTCATGTTGATATATGAGCTTAGGGAATGTTTGTCTAAAATGCTGAGGTATTAAAAGGTTAAGACAACAGTTCTAGAGCCAAAATAAAGCCACATTTTGCATCCTGGCTTGTTTTAAACACTTTCAGAGCCCAGTTTGTAGTCATATGTAGGAAAAACATGCTTCTACAAATCGAAACAAGGTACTGAAACAGCAATTAATTGTAAATAAGACTTCTCTGGACAATGAACTTTCCAAGTCAAGCAGTCTGAAGTGAAGTCAAAGATTTAGGATTGATTACAATGCCAATAAGGGAGTTACAAGGTTGTGGTTACTTAACAAGCCCAGATTATAAATAACTAGATTCCAAGGGTCACAATACACAATGCTGGGATTATTTACCAAGAGAGTAACAATAGCAATAGCACTTAGACTTATATGCAGCTTCACAGAGTTTTACAGCCTTCTCTAGACAGTTTACAAAGTCAGCATATTTCCCCCAACAATCTGAGTCCTCATTTTACCGACCTCGGAAGGATAGAAGGCTGAAGTCAACCTTGAGCAGCCCAGAATTGAACTGCTGACAGTCAGCAGCCTGCAATACTGCATTCTAACCACTGTGTCACCATGGCAGTAGCGTTTCTGTAAAACCTCTCTGCTGAGTATCCACAGTCATGATCAAACCTTGCTGGAAAGTTCAGCATCTTGCTGCTTGCTCAGAAGTCACACACTTTGGCAAGGTTCAGAGATCTTGGGAGAAATTCCTGGAGTGGAAGACTACCTAGCTTTGACCCTGTCCACAGTCAAAGCATTGCACCTGAAGGGTTTTTCCATCCTGTTGTGACATAGGAAAAATAATGGTTATCATTCTCAAAACAGCTGTGCAAAAATGATTAAGATACTTTATCATATCTTCAGATACTTTCATTATGCATAAGTACCAAATGTATAGTACAGTATACCGAATGGATAGTATACATTTGTACTTTTGTTATGTGTTGAATTTTTGAAAAAAGGTTGTTACTGAAAATAATTGCATTGCTGATAAGCAGTCTCTACATAGTTACCAGTAGTACCACTTATAACCATTCACTTAGTCATCATCTGAAGATCCAATAGGACTGAAAAATGTTATTTACAATCAGTACTTGCATTTACAACCGTTCACAATCATGTGATCAGAATTCGAGTGCTTTGTATCTGGCATGTATTCGTGATCGTTGCAGCATCCCAGGGTCATGTAATTACCATTTACAACTTTCCCAAATGGTTTTCATGAAGCAAAGTCAGTGTGGGAACCCAGATTCTCTTAACATCCCTTCACAAAAAAGTTCATAGAATCAGATGCAACTCACTTCAGCCACCATGCAGAAATTCAGGCCCTGATTGTGGATGTAAACCGAGGACGAAGGAGGATGTAGGATGAAGTTTATGGATAGTTTATTATGATTCTTCCTTTCATATGTTTATGGCTCTTATTGCATGCCAAAACAACTAGATATAGGGACAGTTTTTTTCCCACTCATGCTATTACTGCGCTGAACACTTGATTCCCACAAAAAGATTAACTTTCTCTTTCTCATTCATGCGGGGTTTCCCAAAACTGAATGGGAAACTGAATGCCTTATTTAATTTATTTATATTTATTTATTATGTCAAGCATGTGTTGACAGATGTAAGTATAAACTTGATTATTAATACATGAAATGGGTGCAAATAAAAGGGAATGTTTGGACAGGGACAGTACGCCTATGCTTATG